TAAATAAGCCTTTTGTTTTTGTGTAGTACAATTTAAGTTCAAAAGGACAGTCTCATACTATGGCATCAGATTTATGCTAAACAATGCAGATGCCATGGAAAGTTATTAGAGGAGGTACCAAACAATTTATAATAAAATTGCAGATTAGATACTATGAAAATTATGCTAGTTCAATTACAGTAACAAACATTTGGGTTGGTACATATAAATCGCTAAATATTTGTTACATGTCCTATCTGCAAATAAAAGGTGACTATAACTGCATGAATACCACCATAAATACTGCCCTTGTCTTAAAATGCAATCTAACCTACAGGCCTGTAATTTTTAATCTTATATTAGTACAGATCAAGTGAGGGACCAATGATTAACATGTGTCCTCGATGCTTTTATAATGATCTTTCCTATAATGTAGGGTGACCAGATAGCAAGTGTGAAATATCAGGACAAGGGGTGGTGGGTAATAGGAGCCCATATTTTAAAAAAAGCCCCAAATATCGGGACTGTCCCTATAAAATCAGGACATCTGGTCACCCTACTGTAATGCTGCTACATTCAATGAAAGAATAATGCTAAGCCCTGTCTGTCATCAACTCTTTACTTCACCGCCCTCCATTCCAATTAACCAAAAAAACCCAACCCAAGTGAAGTCAGAAGCAGTTTTTTTCAATCCAGTCTCAAATTGTCAGTTTCTTTTACTAAAAATTAATATTAACCAGGTAGATTTTAAACATTATACTTATAAATCCTAGACACTTACAAACTGTAAATTTATGAAGAGAAATCAACTATTTGAACAATCCTGTTCTGGATTGTGACTGATGCAAATGGCAGCTCCACCCTTATCTGTGGCTTCAAGCTATCCCTTTTCCCTTGTGCATTCCTGGAAACATGGGGGTCACAATTGTTGCTCCCAAGAAAGCCAAATTACATTTTTCTCTTTACCAAAGAAGGAAGATAATTGGTGATTTAACAACCAGATAAGAAAATACTATTAACCTACCCTAAAGAAATACAATTAGTGTACAGTGTTACCACAGTACACCTTTCCCTCAAGGTATTCTGTCTAACTCCTTCACACCCTCATATTAAAGACATCTTGAGGAATTCTTAGAGGACTGATGTAAATTTTAAAACGTCAGAAGGTGGATCGCATTTTTAGGCAAATAAAAACTGTCTTGACACCAACTTTAGGAAGTCCGGATTTTATTCTAAAACGTTGGACCTGTCGAGGGTGGATGCCTTTCTGAGGAGAATGCTGGGCTGATGTTAGCCCTCTGGGTTCAGTATTCATCCGCCCCTTCCAACCTTATACAGCTACTAATCTTACAACAATTATACTCTTTCCCTACTTACGTCTCGGAGGCGGAGGGGAACATGGTGGAGGATAAGTCATAGCTAGGCCAATCTAATGAATCTACAAAGAGGAGGGGAAAACCAACATTCAAGAGTGAGTGAGTGATGGCTCTCTAAGCATGGACCGGGGGCCAGGGCCGCCCCGCTACCGCCCGGGGACGAAAGGCCCTGGCAGGGAACGGGCTCCCCGCGCAAAGGCCCAGCCAGACACGCCGCGGCTGCAAGGTGAACGCGGCCATCTTAGGACGCCGGCCGGCCGGCCGGCCCGGCTCTCTCGTCACCCTGCTCTGAGCGGGCCTCGCAGCCGCCCCCTCGCCCCCATGTACCCAGCCGCGGCCCCAGCCCGGGCTCCCAGGAAAGTGGCCCATTCCCCTGCAGGGCAAAGCGGGACAGGGCTCGATCCCGAGGAGGGACCGGAGGGGCACGGGCTGCCCCCACCTCACCCCACTCACACAGCCCCCCGCCCCGCGACCCCAGCCCCGAGGCGGGGCCGGCCCCGTCACCTGGCCGGCGGGGCTGTCCGAGGGAAGCCGGGAGGGTCTCGCCGTGAGGAGACCGCGCTGGCTGCGGCCGCTCGAACTGGAGGACGAAGTGAAGGAGACACCGACTAGTCGACCCGCCCGCCGCCGCCGCGCAGGACCCCAACGAGCCGGGGCCGCCCCACCAACCGCCTGCCCCGCCGCGCTCCCTCAGGCCTCGGGCAACACCTCGCCCTCAGCTGGCACACACCGACCTCACCCCGGGGGTAAAGCGGGGAGCCCGGCGGCAGAGGGTTAAGAGAGGAGGAGACCGCCGCCGAACAGGCGCTGCGGAGGGCAACCCCCAGGCGAGAGAGGGGTCCTCTGGGCCCCTGAGTGAGTGAGTGAGAGAGAGAGAGAGAGAAGGGAGGCGCCTGCAGGAGCAGAGGAGA